TTTTACAGTGTTCATTGGCACTACTACGCGTTGGTCACAAATTAGTGATATGCCTGGGCTAGTTTGATCTTACCCCGATCATGATCGTGTACCGCGATTGAGGTCAATATGTTTTAATTACATCCGTCCATGTATCTGACATTTCTCTTAACCGTGATGTATGGGTCCTCTTGATAAACATCATTTTCATTACTTTGGTGTTGCTTCAGTTTGTTTACCAACTGCTCCAGTATAGGTAGCAAGACGGCCACACAATCCCACATCAAGGTATAATCGCGTATAATCGCGTACAACTTCCGGAGCCGACACCACGTTATATTTATCGAACAGCTGCCCACAAGTAATCCATTCACACAGACTGTTCTTAAGAACACATCCAGCCGATTCCTCAAGTCTGCTTAGTGTCCACCCTAACGTCTGTCCAATTTTCCTACGTAATGACACTAATAATAATCTAATCGCTGGCCCGAAACAGACACTGTACGACGAAAACGTAAGTCACCAATACGGTAGGGGAATAACACGAGACGGAACGGATCTCACTGAAAAACTTGGGCGTCGTGCTCATGATTATTGNAATTAGCTTGTCTTAGCCACGACGAATAAAAAACCAAAGGCGTTGGTGACAACGTTTCGACCCTCTCGGAAGGCCTTTTTCAAGTCGTTTAATCGGTTAATCTCACGTTACAAGCAATTATAAGGTGGTGGGATGATGACATCGTATAGAACTCGGATGTGATTTGAGCGTGCGTGTATGTGCATGTGTGTGTGTGTTTGTTGGTGATCGTTCAACAGGTGGTTGGGGCGAGTGAAATTGGTTTGACCTTTAGGTCAAAACGTGTGAAATTAGTCACTTGGCCTGTGGGGTGGGGACGAGACTATTTTGTATGCACAAGTGTTTATTGTTACCATAACTGTGGAATGATTTTATTAAAATCTTTACTTGATTCTCTCCGTCAGAATGGTTTACTGGACCTTAGTCTCATAATTGGGTTGATATAACCAACACGTTTATAGCTTAACCGTCGCACAAAACACTGAAAGTATAAAGATAATGGGTAAACTCGTTTTGTAACGTGAGATTAACCGATTAAACGACTTGAAAAAGGCCTTCCAAGAGTGTCGAAACATTGTCACCAACGTTTTGTTTTTAATTCGTCGTGGCTACGACAAGCTAATTTCCTCAACGGTAGGGGAATTTCTGTTCCCATTCTTTCAGTGTTGTGGGCTTTTATACTAATCGGTCTGTCAGAACCACAAAAGTAAGTAAAATTAAGGAACTTAACCGCGAGTAAAATGGTCCAAGCGATGAGACAGTCTTTGCTGCCGCAATCCATTGGATCCGACGTCCCATCTCTACTGGCGTATACGCCCTTCAGACGGGGTTACTACATCCATTTTGCGCAACGCACCCCTTTGCTTAATCGAAGCGGTTAAATTCTATCCAGCAGCTCTGAGGTTAGTTGATGTATTTTGTCGTATGTGTTTGGTTATCTCGTTGACCAGGTTGTGACCGCAGAAATCGGCTTTTTATCCTCTAACTTCGGCGAGGACTCTTCGGCTGAGAGAGGGTATTTGATGAAACTTATCCATCAGTGACTGTGAACGCACTTCATGAAAAGGCATTTTAAGGAACCTCTGAACTAAAAATAGAAATCTAAACCGTACCGAGGTAATATTGCACGGATGTTGTCGATACCGAGATTTGTCTGGGAAGTAAGCAGCTCGATATCGTTTGATCTGAGGTTCATTTTGTCAGGAAGGTAAAATTCTACCTGAAAATCGGCCCTATTTTTATTACGAAAGAAGTCAACCCATAATAATCCACCGTGAATTATTGGAATGAGCTGTTGCTCGAGTTCCTTATGCGCTCAATCTTAGCGGTCAACTTTGCCCTCGAATGTTTCGCTATCCGTTGTCACTCCCCTTTTGCTACAATTCCCAAGGTCACATGAACATTTTTACCCTTGAACTTGAACGCATTTATACTCTCGCGAATACCACTTTCGCGCTGGTTTTGATGGTCTGTGGTTGAAGAGTTTGGAACTGGAAGTTTGAAAGTGCGGTTTGGTTAGACAATGCAGTCACCTGTCTCACGTGTGGAGACCGGGTCTCCACTTGCAAAATCATGGTTATTAAAGGGTTTCATAGTATTAATGGTTGTCGAACAAAAAGTTCAGTCACCTAGGCTTTCCTACTGTTTTCCTCTAGTGAATTATGTACAAGCGATTTTCACGAGGGATAAGCGGTCAATCAAACGGCTGCCACAGGATACAAAAGAAGCTGTGTGAATTTTGAACACAACCTCCATAATGTTGTTGGGTGAAACTTGTTGCGCGTGCTGTACAGTCGAATTTCTGGACGCCTAATGCTTTTTAAAATAGTGCGAACTGTACGTTGGTTTGAGATGACCAATCTTCAGCTTTTGAGCTCAGTGAAATTGTCTGGATACAGTTACAAAGGGTAGTGGGGCGTTTGCTTGGAAACGTGACGCGCGCATTCATCGTGAACAGAAACGTTCTCTCATTCTCTTTCTTTATAACCTATTTAATTTCCTCATTTGTAATTCAACTGCATTCTGTCATTCGTCCGTTTAAACTGTCTTTCGGTGGCTTTCAATACTAGCATCAACTGAGATGGCATTACTCGATTGTCGAGCTAATATTTTGTGAAAAGTGAACTTGAACCTCATACTGTTCATGACTTACTCTACTGTTCTTCAGGTTGTCCAGTACATCGGCGAGACATGTCGATATTTGGTCTCGCAACCACCCAGACCCACAGATCGCCAGCATCAAGTTCGTCTGGCTTTTGGAAATGGGTTGCGTCGCGAAACTTGGATTGAGTTCCAAAAGCGATTTAATGTCCCACGGATTGGCGAGTTGTACGGTGCAACTGAGTCAACGGCTAGCATTATCAATTCGGATTTCACGGTACGTGTGCAGTCGATCGGTTTGGTTCATATGGCAACATTCTACCATTGCATGTCACTTCCACTTTCGCAATAATAGAAACATTTACGGACCACTGGTTTAGAGGCGCATTTCAGCACCTTTTGATTATATATGAAAGTTTGAATGTAAATAAAAATTTTATCTACAAATATCTGTCGGACAACATCTTTCTTCAGCGGAAAATGACTTTTATCCTAACAGGTAGACCAACTAACTGACATGGACTTTGTGGAAACGGTACAGGTACGTCCGAACATGTCAAATCTCGCTTCTCTCGTCTGAATTTAGTTTGATACCGTTATAATCACACGTGGTTTGTGCATTCCACTAATTCGAATGAGGGGAAAAAGACACTCATCAATGTTGATCTTCATGAGAAAGTTGAGTTTGGATTTGATCAAAGCTCTCTGAACGCCCTAGCATCCGATTGTTGGATCCACCATACCTGTGGTCCCAGCTTATATCATAGGTAACCTTTTTTTTAATCGTATTTCTTTGTGGAGGGGACGCACAGGGAACAGAACAGAGGGAGGATGCATGCGACTGAAAATTTGTAGACACGTTTGGAGGAACAGCAAGTGTCCTAGGTCTGAAAGCTTAAAATGACAGTTTATGAACCCTATTGCAAACATTCTCCACATAACTAGTCCGGGAGAGATTGTGGCATAGAACAACATCGAGGTATTTAACAGAGTCAGCTTTGGGAATGATGTGACTGCTAACGACGAGTTCAGGTAACTCATTGAAAATAGTTTGATAACGGGAGCCAGATTTAAGGTTGAAAGGAACATCAACCCAACTATTAAGCATAAGCTATCGAGATAGGGACCAACTAGAAATTGGTTCAAACTGCCTTGAACTGGGTGGAAAGGCACATCGTTGTTGGACGGCCACCCAATAAACACATCGTCAACATACTTACGGGCAATAAAGTTGGTAGTTACAGGCAGGTTGTTTATGCGTAGGAGAAAATAGAATAGAGGCAAAGTAGTGCCATGAAAGAACCATAGTTAACGTTAGAGGAGGACGGAATTTTACTATTGCGTGAGGTATATTGCGTCCTAAAAGGGAGGTAGTTTACAGGAATGTTTCACACGTCGGATCCTTAGCCGCAGTCAGCAAGACCTTGGATGAAGATAGGACGGTTAAGCGAATGAAAGGCAGTGGCATAATCAAGAAGAACAAGGCGAATAG